GCAAAATATAGGAATATAGTAGTCACAATAAATTCTATTTATTGTCCATTGTTTGTTTGTATATGCATACATATGTACGTGCGTACGTGTATATGACTGTGTCTGTGTGCATGTCCGTGCATGTATAACTGATGTTCTTTCTGAACAGTATTACAATTCATGTATTGCCAATATTGTTGTTTCTTTACTCCACTTGTGAACATAGTTATATACTTTTATTATATTATTGGAATAAAGTGTTCTACTAGACGCGTAAGACACTTAGCCATATGTTATGTTCAACAGGCATTATCCAAGTAAATAGAACTGTGCATGGAAGCACAGATGATCGTAAATTACACATGAACACTTTTTTTCCTATACATAACCATGCATAATCTAAGGACAATAAACATTCATGTATGTAATAAGAGGAAGATGATAGAGGTTGTATACAGATTGATCTCCATATCATATAGCGGGTGGTCAATACAGCTAACTGTGTGTGTGTGTTATAATCCAATCCTTAGTGAATCAAATGAAGTTGTGAAATCTTGTTAATAGGCTAACGGATACGACACTGTTCTATGCACAGTGATTTCGATCTTAGGTATTGGGAGAAGTCAATCAGTAGGGATTCTTGAACTTAGCAGCTTTTGTGGTTGTTGGCACCGATTAGGTACAATTGATTTTAGCCCCAGCCACTTAGGGAGGTGGTGTGGACTACCTGGCGCTGGGGTGTTCGACATGCTAAAAACCGACTGTGTGTGTGACTGTTATTGGCATGGCTCAAAGTCGTTCTCAATGGATTTAACCTTTATGAACTCCCAGTGTAACGGTAGAAGACGTAACGTAATGCTTATTTAGAATTTGATATTTCTATTAAAACCGTCGTTTGCGCAGATCTTCCGTGTTGTGCTACTCCAACCGTTCGTGTTGTCTTCTTTTCACGTCTCCCATGCTTAACGGCAGCTCTGGTTCATTTGCTCTATTTGAAGTCATGTCTATCACTCAGCTATTTGTTATTTTTATGCTGATGAATATCTCTTTATATATATACTACTGATAAATCTTGTCAATAGCACACGTGGCACTAGATCCATCTAACTCTCATTAATCTACAGATGTTTATTCTCACTTTCTCTCTCTCTCTTACATATCCACTCATTATAGTTCCTTTAAATTTTTATTCTTTGCTACTTTTGTCTGCTTGGAGTGTGGCCGCTTGAACTGATGTAAGCACTGCACTGAAACCTAGTCAATCAACTGTTATTGGCCCTAAGGTTAAAAACATACCGTAAATCACATAAATGATGCTGTTGACGAGTGATCAGTTGCTTAGAAAGTGTCGCAGTATAGAATCTGAGTTTCGCGTTCCCCGGTGGAACATAGGGTTTCAAGCTAGAGGCTTGAAGTTTCTGTAGCAGTGTTTATTTTTACAGAATGGGGTTGCTAGCCTCATGCCCAACCTTTCTTCTTCACCAGCATTATTTCTGGCTTAGTGAGGTAAAGGAGTGTGTCGGCCGGGGAGCGAACCCCGGACCATGTGCATGATCGGCGAGCGTCCTAACCGCTATGCCACCGATGCACCGAGTTAGAAATGTGTTAGGTTGAATGTTTTCTTCCCCCATTTTCCACTAGCCCCATTATTTCAGATTTGTTAAAAAGCAAAGAAACTATGGAAAATAAGTTTAAAATTTTTTTGTGGGGGGGGGGATGGTAGGTTAGAAATGTAACATCGACATAATCAGTTATCATGTTTTTTAAAGGCTAAAATGACATATTGGATGATACGAATATTTAGGAAAAATGAAATGTCAAATATCATTAGTTTGACGATATTCCTTCATTCTAACTAGTCTTTTTTCCAGTGCTTGGGCGTAGTATAAGTATTCAGTGGATTATTTTATAATACATCAGAATATATGCTATTAGTACTACTCAAAAGTGTGAATGTTGAGTAAATCCTGTGTTTGTCTCTGGTGTCTTGGTTGAGATATCTTATTGTGAAATTAGCTGTTCATTATCCAGTACTATTGATTGCTTTCATAAATAGGATTTGGTGAGGTATTGTTGTCAATCCAACTGGTATTCATTATAATAACACTGTTGTGTATGAAATTTGTGATTCTGCAATTTCCGTAATCGTCATTTAAGTGGTTTTCTTTTTAGATAGAGAGATAAAATTTGGTCTAAGTGGCAATGTAGATTTCTTCACAGAGTGAAACTGATTGGAGAATTATTGAAAGCTGTGGATCGCTTACTGGACAGCTGTTTCATCCTGTTTCTGGACTGTTCCACAGTGTCCCCCCACGTTGCATCCAGAAACCGATTTCAAACTGGGATGAGATAGATGTCCAGTAGTGCTCCTTGCTTTTCAGTGATTCTGTAACTGTTTATCTGTTCGCCGCGAAATTGACTTTGGAAATAGATAATAATCCTAACGAAACATAGTATCATCACATCAAATTCTGGTTTTCATTTTCAGTGAAACTGTTTTGAACTACAACAAATTGTTTTTGGTTTTTCATCACTTAAGGAAATGAATTTGAAAACAAAAATCTTAGAGAAATCAAGAAGCACAGGATATAAGTTTTATTATATCTTCAAGATTCTGTAACAGTGGAACTCATCTAGAAACTGTAGAAGCGATTGCTTTACAGCAGCAGTATAGTGTTTCCTTTTTTCACATACTAACCCTTGAATATAAATTCGGTTTTATTCTGTAATCTACTCATAAGTAGTGTAGTGTATTTCTTTGAAAACGTCATCCATAAGATTATTGATTTCAGACAGTATTTTTTAATTATGCTGTACTTGTTGTATTAGCTACTTGGTATTTATTATTGTATAAATGGGGGGGGGCACTTCTGTTTTGATACCATAGTGTGTTGTTTAATCCTTGAACACGCACACAATGTTAGTCATCAATGTGTGTCCCATTCTACCTATTCTTTCTTTTTGTGTAATTAGTGTTATCATGTTGGTAGAAGTGAATAGCAGTAGTGGTAGTGGCAGGTAGACTATGCTCCTTACTATAGTTAAGTTTTCAGTGTATCTAGCTTTTGTTTAGATTATCTATTACTGATCCTGATTTGACCACCTGTGTAAACTGCTGTTATTGGGTCTTCTTTTGATATTAAAATGAGCTTTCAATTATTTCACAGTAGACTTTACCATAAACATGCTTTCATCATATTGAAATTGGCACTGAAAATTAAACTGTCCACCTTAGACAATACAGATACGCTAATATCCCGACCTGAGCTAGAAATCTTCTGCACGATTTCTAAGCATAAATCGATTCGTTCGTAATAGACCTAACTAGTGGAATCATCAAACTCGTCCTCCACCATAAACTCGACAATTTAATATCAATAATTAACACGTAAACTGAATATCTTCAAGATGAATGTCCGAAGAAAATGCGATGGAAAATTGTTACCCCAAAAAGGTGGTCTACGTAAATCGTCTATGGTGACTTAATATATATTTATAGAAGACGATTTAAGCAAATACGTATTTTCGGAAAATTCTCATTAGGCTTTAAATTTACATAACGAATTTATTAGTCAAGGGCATCTGAAATAATGTGGTCAATCCGAGTTCACGGATGTGAATTAGAGGATAACAATCGAAGTGGTCGGTATAAAAATAATAATAATAAGGATAAATTCATTCAAGCGTTTATATAACCTAGGCCATGGTGAGTGTGTCAGTGACACAGCGGTTAGGACGCTCGCCGACTATGCACATGGTCCGGGGTTCGATCCCCGGCAGACACATTCCTTTACCTCACTTATCCAGTAATAAAGCTGGTAGAGAGGAAAGGTTGGGCATGAGACTAGCAACCCCATCCTGTAAAAATAAACACTGCTACAGAAACTTCAAGCCTCTAGCTTGAAGCTCTATGTTCCACTGGCAACGTGAAGGAATAAGAAAAAGGTGTGTGGCTAGGTGTTTACTAATAGGGGTAAAAGGGGAAATAACTACTCTCATATAGTGATTAGATAATATAATGATAATAATGACAAATTGTGAAACCGAGATTAAAATGTACGATCACAGTACAGCTTGATATTGATACTACAGTTAACAGTGCAAATAAAAATATAACAAAATAGTAAGGTAATATTTACCACGAGAAATAATTGTTCTAGTTTGGGAGTGAAAGCCAAAGGGGGAGGGAGATTGGACAAACTTTTTCTGAACACAGAGATTGGGTTGAAAAATTTCCATTTAATTCAGCTTGGCTTTCCCGTTGATTGATTGGACCGAAGTGCTCGGCCTCAAGGTGATATGTTGGCTCCTTGTGCAGATGCTTTCGACGATGTTTGATTATTTAACTTGAAGTAAATTGGCAAATGGTGACTAGGAGAGGAATCTAGAATGTTCATTTCGTCCTATTTTTGGGACTCGTCATCTGGATATGCCTGAAATCCCCAGTATGTGAGTGATGGTGCTCCCACTGAGGCTCGAACCCAGTACCAATCGTTTCGAACGCCAAAGTGTTATTCACTGGGTAGGGGTGACTTGGATCACAAGAGTTAAATCTTGTTCAATGGGTGTTAGTAATTGTTTGATTTAGTTTTTATCTGTAAAAATTGGTTACTGTGGTGGCAGTAGATAACTTCATATCAATTTGTTTACAATATGAATCACATAGTGTGACACTATACATGCTAACGATTCTGTAACACTCCGAGATGCCGCACTGTACTGTTTGTTAAAATAACTGACATACCCCTCGCACAAGAGGCAACAGAATAAGTGAATACATTTGAATGCTTTGACCGACAGGTTCGAATTTCAATGTGAACATCAGTCGCTAGGGTATTACATGTGTCCATCCAGCTTGAAATTCCAATTTTTTAGCCACCAAAATTTAACTGTTGTCTCCTGCTATTTTCTTACTGCCTGTTATTTAATTTGTCTTTTCTTTTACCACTTTGTCATTTTTTTTTCTATAGGGATTTGATTAAGGCTCATCATTACTGGATGAAGTATTCAAATGTTTTCAAATGGATAAGCCTACTGAGAAAGTGAATAACAATGAAACTGATGAGAATAACAAAAGTGACTTGATCAGCACAACGAAAGAGATCGCTAGAGAGCATTCAAGTAATCCCATTCAACAATTAGATTCTTTGAATTGTCTTGGTAACAGCTATTATGGTGATGAGGGGGGAAATAATAATAATAATAATAATGTTAATGAGACAAGCGATTTCAGTAGCACTTTGAATAATAATTCTACAAAGTGAGTTGTTTGATTCTGTTTTATTATTATTATTAATATTTAGTTTTATTGTCATTGATTTCTTCGCTTTCCATCATTCTGATTAAGTCATTTTGTAGGATGTTTCGTTCTCACATATATGCGTATATAAATACCAATGTAACCACATAAGAGACTGAGCAGTAAGTTAGTTATATATCTTTTGTGTCAATGACTGAAAGTGGAACCTAAGTTGTAGGAGGATCCCCATTCAGTCGCCCCTGGATTCCTACTATCCGGGCTCTAAGACCCCGTCGTTAAACATGCCATCATTTTCCTGCACTCATCGTGCATAATGCCATGCTGTTTATCTAACCATTTCGATTTTCTGTCAATTATAGTTATAGTGAATAGGAAGGACAAGGTTCGGGGGTTAATTCATAGGAAAACCATATCTAAGATAGTTTTATGATTGACAAACTCCTTTACAAATCATGATCATTGGTTGAAAGTGAAACTCGGTCTCGTAGTTCGGTCTATAGAACTCTGTTCGAGTATTCTAGAGGCTGTTGGTTCGAATCTTGTCTGGAAGTTCTAGTTTTCACTTTACCATCAATCAGTTGCCATTACATCAACAGGGGCTTATCATTATGAGGCGCCATCTCAAATATCCTCCTACATTAGTGGTTAAGCGGTAGAATGCTCTCCATGGTTTATGCTAAACAAATCACAGTGGGAAAGAAGCCTATCTTCATTGAACTCGATTTTAAATGTGATAATATTGCAGGAATAATCAACAGACGATTGAATACGTCACTAGCCACAGCCTATTCTGCAGCTAAGTTGGTTCCCATTTACCGAGCAACTTGCTTTTTGGTGCAATCAAAAGTCGACAGATATCCTTCTCATGTTTACTCCAACTGTGTATACAAATTTAGCGTGTATCTGTGGGAGCAGTTACATAGGCAGCACAGAAAGAACGGGATACCTCCGATTTTCTAAACATGTACCAAAAAGCCTACTTCTCAAGGGAACAAGTGATGTCAACAGCTCCATCGCCAGGCATCTCCTTGACACGGATCATTAGGTGGAAGTCACAAAATCGTTCGAAATTATCAATAGTTAAAAGAGTTCAGTCCTCCACAAGTATGCCGAAGCAATCTCCATCAAGTGCCTAAAGCCCGATTTATATGTTTAGAAAGAAGCAGTTATCAGTCTTTCCTTGCCCTAGTAACTGGATGTTTTCATCCTGTCTTTCAATTGATTACACAACGCTGAAAGACCCCATTGTGTGGAATAAAGTGATTATTACTTTTACTATTGTATGGATACATTGGTTTTTCGTTTAAAAGTGAACTCTCTGTGTAAGTATGTTAAAATAATTTTTTTACATAATGTCTTTGTGCTGTGAGTAGCTGATGAGAAGCCAATGAAATAAACATTTTATTCTGCACAAACCACTGTTACTTTTGCTTAACTCAAATTCCTTAAGGGGAATAAATGCAGTTAATAAGCACTTGGTAAGTTTGGAGGTAAGCCACATTATTCAACATTATTTTTGATAATATTCCGGTTTTTTGTTTTTCTGGTTATTTTTACTTCACATTACTTATTTTATTCATTTTATGCACATATATGTATATGAATATTGTATACACAGCTTGAAGTCGCCGGTGACACCATTGAAGAATATCAAAGCTGATCTAGTTGAAAGTAGAAGACTAGTGTCGAAAGGGTATAACACTGCAAAGCCACTATTGCATACTACCACTTCACCTTCACCGTCTTCTAATTCAATAACAAGAAAAATTTTAACTAACGGTAGTTTAACACATCATAACAATCATCACGATCATGGCGTACACGCAACCAGTAATATGAACAACAATAATAAAAATGACAATAGCAGCAATAACACTGCTAACAACATAATTACTCCATATGCTTCTAGTCCATCGGATTGTATAAACTCGTTGAATTATGAATCAGCAGAAAATGAATTGACCAATTCAATTATTCATGATAATTATATGATGAATGATGTCGTCGTCGTCGGCGGTGACGACGGTGAAGCCGATGGTGATGGTGATGTGAATCATTTAAAGAAATTGAAATCTGCGCAGAAAACAGAACACAAATCTTTATGGAAACGTAGTTCCTTTGGGAGTTTAACACGTCGTAGTTCATCTGTGTCGAAAACACTGCAAAGAAATAATTTCAATGGATTCAATCAATCAGATCATGATGAGAATAAACGATTGGTAATAAGCAGACCAGTGCTGTTAAGTCGACCGAATTCAAGTAAGTTATCCACTGTCTTTCTGTGTATGTGTGTGCGTGTGTGTATGGGCGTGTTTGTCTGTGTTGTCCGTCATTTTTTGTTTAATTGAATACAAAAGTAAATCGGTGGCTCCTGTTTAAGCCACCAGACCATCTAAATATTTCCATCCAACATAAAAGTGTCGACTTTTCTTCCTTTCTTGTTGTCGTAATCTCCCAATTATGTCTTTGGATCGTGTGATATGAACTCACACACACATTTTTAGTTGACTTTCAACCTACAACTGACTGTGCATTTCATGGAGAAAATGAAGACAGAATATTGTAGAGAGTAGAGTTCGATGTCAGATAGAACGACGTTGTGTCATACTATATACGATACTGCCGATGTATATTCTACTTGAAGAAGATTCTATACAAGGAGTGAATATTTCGCAAAAAATTTCACTGAGAACTTGTTTTACTATAAGTGAACATAATCTTCCTAGAATAAAGCTGTCATTATTTTATATGAGTAATTAATGGTGCCTAATAGAAAGTTCTTATTCAACTTGATTTTCTGTTGTGTTTCCCCATACTCAGTATTCGTCTTTTAAGGTTACCAACCTACGTGACTTATTTAATCTTACAGTCAGCAAACTGATGACACCCAACTAGCATAAATTGGATTGATGACCGAAAATACCCTTTTGGCACATGAAGCGAATTTTCTTTATCGGCGCAATCATCTTCACAGGTTGTACAGTCGTATTGATATTTACCGAAACCTTATAGTAGTAGTCTGTTATTGAGTAATGGGAGGAGGGGGAAGCAGCATAATTGATACAACTGCTCGGAATTCGTTTCTAAAGATAAATAATTACGTCATAGTCAGTGACACAATGGAATTAAGGATCTGAAATTTGATAAGGCGAAAATCGTTTTATTCGATGACAAGTTAGGTAGTTGAGTGTCAACTTCACAGTCGTAAAGAGGGTGAGAAAATGTACAAAAGGAACATATAAGAGTAGTAATAGTGAATTAATTATTAAAAAATTGAAACGAATGACTGGGGAAGAGATTTACACCATGGTAGAATAAGAGACTGAACAAACCTTTTCTGAACACAGAGTTCAGGGTTATACTGACGAATCACCAGCGCCTCCGCTATACACATATGCCGAAAACTAATACGAGTCTGGTGAAGCTTTGTGGCTTAGGTCGACCAGGTGCTCGAAAATTAAACTAGTGTTAGTCTTACATTGTCCTCTTGCTAACCATTCCGGATAATATTTGGAGATGCATTTGGATAGTGCGCGCTTTGTGCAGCCAATATAACTAGCTCCACAGGAGCAAGTAAATTTATAAGTACACATTGAAGTGGCCGTTAGTGACAGTTTGTCCTTCACACCTCCATCGATCATTTGTCAACTGCAGAAATTGATACGTAGCTCAGTCGGAAGAAAGGTTTTCTTAGCTATCTGAGTGAACAGTTCATCCGGATGTCGGCTGCTGTAGTCTTCTCGAAAATTCTATTACAGATAGTAAGGAATAAAGGCAGTTGCAGTGAAAGGAATAATCTTCTTTTTCATTAGATTTATGTGGTAAGTTGAACACCTATGAAAATATAATGAAAGGTTTTATATTTATTTCTGGTTAAGGACCAAAATAAGTTTATGTAGTACAAACAGGCATTTAGAATGGGAAAATAAACTGATAAACTCAGGTTTTGAAGTTGTGTGATTATAATTGATGTGATTATGAACAATAAATTGTTCGAAATGTCATCCAGTGAATAATACTGTTTCACTGTGTGATACAAACTAATAAGTTAAATAACACTGTATTTATTCATGTATTTGTACAACATCAACCGTACTAAACACCCGCTTGTAAAATGCTCTCGTGAACACTATCCAGCCTAGTTAGCAAATGAAGAACGGAAATTTACTTTTGGGTCAATAACACAGCATGAGGACACAACTTCGTTTTCAAATCTACAAAGTGAGATCTGCTCACTCAACGCAGGTATACTAAAGAGATCTGGGTATAAATGAAACACATTAACCGTTCGAAGATACAATTCAAAAATGTACCTTCATATTGTCTTTTTCCCATGGCTTCCAGAGCGCGTTGACTGACTGCCTCAATAAACTCGTGTCACATTATGTTTATTCGTTCAATACTCCATTAATTCTACCCCCCCCCAAATACCTACTTGTATTACGTAACTTATACATACATATAAATATAGCTTAGTACGTGATTTTTTAAAAGAATCCTTTTTGTCCTCGCCGTTACAACTGTCTTTTTTTCTAATTATGTATTTTCCTCTGTTTACAATAGGGATATTTATTCGACTAAAAGGAATAGATCACATTGTACAAATTCAGATTTCTTCTCACTGTTGAATCTGTATGCGAAGACAGGGAATAGCCTTCAGTTGATAAGATAATCTTGATCTTGTGAATTATTAGTTACTGTACAAATCAACTGTGCGCCGTTGGTTCAGCAGCAGCATGTTCCCCAACCACCCACTTGGTATAAGGTTCAATCCTTGATCGATGCACTCCTAAACCTCACGTAATCGGTAGTAACCCCGATAAAAAAGGGGAGGTTTTTGGTATGAGGTTAGAAACACCACGGCTACTTCAGTTTCAAAGCTTGAGGCCTTAGGTTCCATTGGGAATGCAAAGAAATAAAATGAAATAATGAATACAGCTCAAAAAACGTAATGCTTCATGCACAATGATAATTCAGCGAGAGTGTATTATAAGCGTGAGAGAACTAATACCAATGACCTACTTCAAGATTCAGGCTAATCGACTAATTCAGAAGTCATGAGGAAGATTTGTGGCTTAGGGGGGATCTTATTGGTGTGTTTTTGTTCTCTGTGCTAGATGGCTTAATTACGAAGCCTTCATTATCTTTTTGGATAACATCTTTATTGTTGACTTCATCATGAAATTTGCAATCCATACACACATCGACACAGACCAGATTTATAAGGCAATGAGAAAGAATTCACATGGACAATAGGTCGAATACTGAATCAACAAGGTAATCACTATCTGTAGAAGTGAATAGGAGGGTAAGGAAATTTCCTCAGACTACTAATCACGTTCAAAGTTACTAGGGTAGATGGTCACTGTATTCATGGTGAATTTAAAAAGCTCACTTCGTGTTGAAGTGAACACTGCAATGGTTGTCTAGGAAGAAAAAGACCAGTTCGCGATTAAACCGTCCAACTCAGTAGACGTAACTACACCAATAGTTGATTTAGTCGTCTTTTAATGTGTAGTAATGACTGTTGTACCAGCTGCGCGGACATGATATTGAGGCCTGTTTATATTGCCATTTTTTGTCTGTGTTTTGTCTGCACACATACACGAAATAATTATACATAGTGCTTTTGGCAATAAAATAATCCAAGTTACTACTTGTGTGTCTACCTTTGTCCTGTATGTTCCGTTTTGGCTTTTTGCATGTATGTGTGGGGGTGTGTTAGTCAGCAGAGAGAAGAAAGGCAGAAATTCAATTTGTCATACATTTTTAGTTTTACTTTTCTTCAAGAAAAAAGCAGACATACCTGCATTCACTAATTTATTTTCCATGTTTCTAATTAGAAATGTTTCTTGTCTTTGTCTGAAAAACTGCTTGGAATATGATTGATGTCAGAAAGAATAGTTGCGTAATTTTTTTTTGTAGCTAAATAGTCTGTCGGCTTGTTTTGCAAGTAGAATGTGGCCACTGGTGTAGAATTGAATTCGATGTACACAATGTAGAAATACTACTGTTCACTGTATAATACTTGTTCAGCACTAATTATCATCTACGAAATTTGGGACAGTCTCACTAATCTGCATTTCATGGCGATACTGTCTGAGATAGCGTTGAATTAGTTATACTATTGTTAGTACAATGAATGAATCATAGTTGAAGGTGAAATATTGATCTCGGTCACGTCAGATTCTAGTTCAACAAAGTCCGGTGTTCTTAGAAGTTAAGGTATTAGATCCGGCTGTTAATCAGGTTATCATTCCACTGCTTCGTTTTGGTGTAAATAAATGAAGCCTAACTATCACAGTTTATCACAACACTGTTGAATTAGCTGGGTCTTCTGCTGTCCATACTAGCCTGACCCTCTACCAGTTAAATGTGATTTTCCTCACTCTAATATTTATTGATTATGGAAAAGCACTATTTACTTCTGGAATCTAGATGACAGCCACACTATGAAGGACTGCAAACATTGGTACCAGTAGTTTTCATCTATCGATACTTAGCCTCCTGATTGGTACTTCACAACATGGCTCAGAGACCTTACAAATATTTTTGTCTCATCACTCCTAACTCCTTATAATCTTTTCATACCTTAGCAAGAGTTGATTTTTGTGCAAGATGACATCTTAGCTACTTTGATTAATGGAGTTTCTAAATTGTATGCATCAATTGACTTGTTGTGTCACTGAGTGTCTGAGTAAAAATGCCTATACCCTAAGAACTTTATTCTTTTCATATCAGCAGGTGCCATCTCAAATGAAATTGTATTCTACTATAGATTCCCAGGTTCCGCTTTTCGTTCATAGGTTGTTAATATTGCTCTGACACTTTATATCCCTTATTTCTACGAAGTTAATGCATATTATTATGTAAACATAAGACATTCATTCGTGTATAGATATTCCTAAAAGTTATTTCGACGCTTATAGTCTGAATACAATAGAGGTCATCGAGAAGAAAATTTTCTTCACTGCAACCGTTTTTTTACAATGGAGGTGTTTGAATATTTCTATGTTCTCCAGTATTGGTTTGTAGAGATTTTGTTTGATTGGTTGGAGGATTTCATCATGAGCTAACATCGGTTAGAGAACCATTAGGAAACCAGACTGAAAGTACTGGAGAGCTGTTTCGTCCTAGTTTGGGACTCTTCACAGTAAGCACCCACCACCAGGGTCCAAGCCAAGGACCTTCTGGTGACAAGGCGAGCTGGTAGACCATTAGGCCACTGGGACCCAATCCAATGGTCCACAAATTCTAACTTCTGCCAATTCACGATATTGCGCGACTCAGAGGTTACAAATATTTTATTCATAGTTCATATTACTTGCAAGTAGTTGGAGGAATTACACTAAATAAAATGATGTTGGCATTAGGTATAATTTTATGTGCATGTTCTATTTCATAGCATTCTTATTCAGAATGAAATGTTTTACAAATCCATGCTTAATTTGTATTCACTTTCCCTTGAGTTTCTTTTTCTGTTGAAAAAGTTAGATATTCATGGTAGAATTTAATACTGACTGAGACTGTTTCAACATAGAACTTTGCATAAAAGAGCAGCACTTCAAGTCGCCACATTTCATGTAGAGAAGAGAGAAGAATGTAGATTCAGAAGAACTGCAATCACCAGAAATGTACAGGAAAAGAATAGACATGGGGGGGGTAATGGGTTAGGAGATTACAAAGAGTTAATTTATATGTGACATTGAGAGTGGTTTGAACCATATTACCTGCAGTGATTGGTTCTTAGCATCCCGAGGACTGCAATCAGTCAGTCTACACCACTTTAAATGAATGGCTGAAACCACCTGTCGGGAGTTTACTGATTGATTTCACGCCTTGACTTCGGAACCCTCAACTCTTTTCCAATATAATCCTATGTCAGCTGACATTGCCTATCAAGGAAGGCTGTGGCACAGGATGCGCAACACTTGTTCTTTAGCCATGTAAATCTTAGCAGTTTTATACAGTTGTTTATCAACTAATTTTTAAGGTGACGGATATTGTGAGCAGTATGTAGGAGAAGTAGAAAAGTGGATTGATTATCAAATGAAGGCTGGTAGATAAATATTTTTTCAAGCGTTGATTTACAGGGATTTAATTTAAGTAGTTACAGGATTTCGTCATGAGCTGACACTGGTTAGAAAACCATTGGAAAACCTGTGAGTGAGGACAGATACTCGCAGCCGATGACACTAGCTAGTTGTCGAGCTATACTGTGGATTGCCAGAATTTGGAATCCACGGGCCATTGGATCGGGTTCCAGTGGCCTAATGGTCTATGAGCTCACCTTGAAACCAAAAGGTCCTGAGTTCGAACCCCAGCGGGGGTGTGTACTGATGAAGAGTCCCAAACTAGGACGAGACAGCTATTCGTTGCTCTCAGACTGGTTTTCTAATGGTTCTCTAACCGTTGTTAGCTCATAATGAAATCCTGTGACTAAGTATTTTTTTAATTGTAGAACCTGATTTCACAAATCCGCACATTTCATACCATGACATGAAGTAAAAGCTTATAAAAGTCAGTGAAGGATTGAAGAAAAATTATACAGTTGAATGTGATAAAATACTTAATGACAGAGTATAAAAGTTAGAGGGAATGAAGAATAAGGTATGGAATGCATCTACACTATTATGTTAATACTAGGTCAAATCAGCTGTTGTCTGTCGGTAAACGGTATGTTGTCAACCCTAACCAAGCAACATGCAATCGTTAAACAACTTAAACTATAATATCCAGTTACTTTGTGGACTATTGTTACTTGTCGATGTGATCGCCCTTACTTTTTTTCGAATGCAGTCCTACTTCTGCTGATATTTTTCTCCCATGTAGATAGATATTGAGGAAATATGTGCAGCGGGGTGCGTCTGTGGTTCAGCGGTAGGATACTCGTCAGCCATGCAAGTGGTCCGGGGTTGGACTCACTGCTGGTGCACACCTCTACCTTTCCTAGCCGGTTGTAAGTCCGAAAAAGATGGGAAGGTTGGATATGAGGTTAGCAACCCCACCCCATTAAAAAATAGTCCCACCACTACTGAAACTGCACAGCTCAAGCTTGAAGCCCTGTGTTCCACTGGGAACGCAAAGTAGTGAAATAAAAATGTGTGCAGCAGAGACTGATTCGATACTGACCACTCACTGGTTCGTATAGTTTTAAAGAATGTTAATCGTTTAGTAGTCATATCACCGCTACTCTACTATAATTCTTGATAATTATATTGTCATTTGTTTCGGAATGTAATCCTATAAAATTATGGGTTTATTATTTTTAGTTATCTAGCCAGTTAATCATTTTACCGTTATTGGGCTTCCTTTTAAGTGTATAGAAACCTAGTCTATACTGTAGTTTTAACTATTTTGACAACTTATCACTTGCATATATACGTCTGTCTTCTCACTCTATTTTTGTTTTTAGTTACTCAAACATCTCTAAACAAGTTACCGTCAAATTTTTCTTCATCTTCAATTATTGGTGGGTTAACCGAACCAAGCAGTTTAGTCAGTTCAACAAGTCGTGGAAGCTCACTAGCTGTTGTCTCTTCTTCCAATGGTTGCAGCGGTGGTGGTATTGGTGGATGTGATAGTAGTAATGGGGGATATGCTTCATCGGTGAATAACGTCCAAGAAGAATTATTAGCACATTCATTGAATACAGATTTTGATCAAGGCCAACAGCAACAGCAGCAGCAGCATCAACAACAACCACTATCGTCAGCATCATCCTGTTATTATGAAGTGTCAACGAATGCATCACTTTCACCAGCGCCTAGTTTATCATCGATGACATCAGTTTCTGGTGGTCTACCGCATTCATTAACATCTAGCATTATAAGTACACAACGCATACAAATAATGCTAGTACAACTGCGAATACAACCTATTTACTGCCTAATTCTACTATTGCATCAACTGCCAAGGTTGTCTACGAGCTTTACGATCCGGTGATACAGTATTTCGTGCATCAACAAATATTTCAAGTGGAACTTTGAACTCACGCAGAAAAATAAGCACATTGTCTAGAACAAGTGTCACAATGATGACAGATGAAACATCCAGTAATTCAAGGTGAAACTATTTTTTTTTCTTTTTACATACTTATTTGTTTACCCGATACCTTCGATCAATTATATACTTTTCATCTAAAAATTTTTTAAAATCTTCCGTTAATGTTTATTTAATTAAAGAACTTAACTAAGTTTTCTAACAGAAGGAACGACACATGAAACAAGCGTGTGTCATTACAGAGAAGAGAGTAGGGGGCAAAATCATTTTCTTGTAGAGATGAAGGTCGTCGATAGTTGGTGATAAGGGGTTGTTTTCGAGGCTTGCCATAAAATAGTCGGCTAGGAGTGGTCCGAATGGAGAGCCCATTGCTACGCCATCTGTTTGCCTGTAGATTTCATTGTTGAATCTGAAATAGACGTTGAAGGTGCAACGTAGTAACAGCTCATTTAGATAATGGATCGGTATGCCGATATCTATGCTATTGCATTGGATGAAGTCATACAGAAAGCATATAGTTTCTGTCAGTGGAACATTGGTGAATAGAGAGACGACGTCTAGGGAGACCATCTTTTTATTTGCGAGGTTGACATTTTTAATTGAATCCACGAAATCGAATGTGTCGCGGAGGTTGTATCTTGACAACTTTTCTTTCACTGGTCCAAGAATTTTTACCAGCCACTTCGCGATTAGGTGATATGGCGAATTGATCATATCTAATATTGGACGGAGTGGGACGTCCTTTTTGTGCACTTTGGGTAGTCCATACATTCATGGCGATGTAGAACCAGATGGGCGAAGTTTTTCATATAGTTCTGTATTAATAATCAATTCATCTTTCTTTTCTTTCAATAAGCTGGTTAGCTGGATCTCCGTCTGTTCAGTTGGATCTTTTTGGATCGTCTGTTTTTGAAATTTGTTTTCATCAGATAGAATTGACGAGAGTTTCTTCACAAAGTCTGACTTGTTAAGCAGAACAATTCCAGAACCTTTGTCTGGTCGAGTTATTATCAGGTTTTCATTTGATTTCAACTCTTTGAGTTGCTTTCGATGTTCTTTTGAAAGCATATTACGAAGTCTAGGTTTTTTGTTGATTTAGTCGAGGCGGCAATTCAAAACAGTTGATTTGAAGTGCTCTGCACTGTCATATGAAATTGGGACCAGATCATTCGTCTGACTAATCAAATTCTCGAATTGTACTTTGGTGTTCAATTCGTTTACTTTTGATGATGCATCACAAAATTTTGGTCCGAGCGACAACAGTTGCATGGTCTCACTAGACGTTGTCTCTCTGTTCACCAATGTTCCACTGACAGAAACTATATGCTTTCTGTGTGACTTCATCCAATGCAACAGCATAGATATCGGCATACCGATCCATTATCTAAATGAGCTGTTACTACGTTGCACCTTCAACGTCTATTTCAGATTCAACAATGAAATCTACAGGCAAACAGATGGCGTAGCAATGGGCTCTCCATTCGGACCACTCCTAGCCGACTGTTTTATGGCGAGCCTCGAAAACAACCCCTTATCATCAAAAATCTTTTTCGAAGAGGTGATTTTTAGGAATGCCTGAATCAAACCAATAGCGCCTGGATTACTATCTATTACAAGGGGATCACTCGCAGCCTACATAAACCAGTGATGAAGTTTCTAATTGCCTGACTGGGTTGGCTGATACTGTTGGGGGTGTCTTTATCCCAGTTACTTGCGCTAAGTATATCATCATGGTTGGCAAGTACTATTCATATTCAATATAGTCGTATTCGGCAAGGCAGATTAATCAGTCTATGATTGAGATGACTTATATGAATGAATGCCAAGTCCTCTGCCTTTCTCAACGACCAATTTTAAGTGAAATAAGATTATTTTTAAAAAGTCTTTGCAGTGATCATCAGAGCGGATAACGTTAACAATCCATAAGTCCCTGGCTGTTGATCTGAGGCACCTTGGTAGACATATATATGTCTCATGGTTGTGATCCTCGAGATATTGTAATTCTTTCCCTACCATTAGTTATAGTTTCATTTGGTTCGTCTCTCTTTCTCCCTTTTTAATTTAGAATCCAAAATTTATCTCCATCTGCAACTTTGGTTAACTTGTCAGCTAAAAATGTATGTGACACTGGTGTCTTGTCTTCGTCACCAACGTCATGCTCATCATCAAGTCTACTAAGGAATAAATCAAAGTTGCTGTTCAATCGTGATATCTACCAGCCATCAAGTCAGATGAGTCCAAGTCATTCTGTGTTTTCTGCTGTTACTAATCCCCTACAGCATGAAGACTTAACACGTATACACGGATCACATCTATCGTCATCATCTTCGTCTTCGATATCATCGCCTACTACTACGGCTCCTTTCGCTTATGATTCAAATGGACAGTATTCACAGAAAAGTATGTAGTGCTATACAAATTGTTGTTTGTGTATTTTATATGAGAACTGTTAACATAGCAGACTTAATGTTTTTTTTCTTAAAAAGAAAGCTTATTGGTGGTTAAGTGCTCTCTTCTTATTCCCATTACTATCTATCTGAAGGACATAGAAGAAGAAAAAACAGGAAGGCGGCGTACACATCATAGAATACATCATAACAGTGTATCCTATCAGAAACACAATGAGATGATAAGTAGAACAATATATAAAATATCCGAAGTTCCGTAAAACGAAATAACTGACGATAAAACTAATCGAAAATATGTTTTAGAATTATGTAGAGGAATTTTAATACCATTATATATGGCCAATAGGTGTCTGATTACTAAATACTTACTTCTCTTACAGAATCTTCAAGTAAAATAACGATGATCGATGGTATTATATATTTTGGTTGAAAGCATACCCCTTCCCACTACCGGCTTTCTACGGTATTTTCATTTCCTCCCCTACAGACAAAATATGCATTAAAGTAGACTGGAAATGTTTTGAAAATCTTAGATGGAATAAAAACTCTGTTTGATTCTAAGACATAACTGCACGAATGAATAAAGCTGCATAGAAAGGAGTGGATTTGATCCATTTTTTCTGGATGGAAAACTAGACAACTCTGTAAGGATTTAAGCAGTCCGCTAAAGATATGGATGTATCCTCCTCCATCATTGCTCAATGGCTTTATTTGTTAGCCTGTATTCCCCATGAAGCCGTCAGCTGTCTATATATATATATATATATATATAAATGGAGATGGATTGGTCATACGCTGAAGAGACTGTCGATCGACATCGTATTGGGTCATCTAGTGGGACTCCAATGAGAAGCGAAGAGTTGAACACTGGAGGAGATTGTTTGAGAAGAAAATGAAAGCATACGGTCATTCGTAGAACCAGCTAGAAGGGACATCAATGTAACCAGACTGAAGCTTTGTAATACTCGTGGAACCCAAAGGAATAATAATGGTAATAATAATACTAGTTAAACTTCCAAAACTTGATTATATATGTACTATATACATATATATAATATATATGTATATATAGGTATATATTTGAATTTTGTTTTATTTCTTTTGCTAATAAAATACGGAAAAGATAATAATCAAACAAAGTCGAATCACACTACACTGTCACAACCGTCAGCTGCACCTCAATCACCACTAACAACTAGGACAACATCAAAAAAAGATGGTGAAAACAGTGATAACAGGTCTAGCATGGATTAAGATTGTGTTGTGGCATCATTTTTAGGCAGAGATTTTGCTGATTTCCTGAATAAAGACATCAATATATCTGAGTCTTCATCGTCAACATCTTCCAAAGCGCAAATGAGTACAACTCGAAGTAAGCGTGTGTGTGTGCGTGTGCATGTGTGTTTCTGCATGTTTTCTTCCTTTTTTTAATGAACAATTCTAGTCTACTGTTTGATCACAGATTGATGTCAGTTAGAGAACCATTGAAAACCCGGGAGTACTGGATGACACCTGTTTCCTCCTAGTTTGGGACTCTTCATCGGCACGCACCAGTGACGTCATCAGGAGTCGAGCCTCGGGCCTTCAGCTTGCATCAATCCGTTATCAAACTAGAAGCAAATCAAATGCCTATAAACTCATCCTAGAAAATTCCAGTTCAATTTTCAACGTATCAATTATGTTACTGCAGCTTAAATCTTTATTTTTCACTGTATACATTTAAAGACACTAATTACATAATTTGCATAGTAATAGTAGTGATTGAATTTGTGTTCCTTTCTAGACACAGAGTTCGTAGAATGGAGTTCCTTGTCGAGGGATAAAGTATTATGCATAGAAATTAGTATTATTATTACCGTAGGATTATATCATATCGTCGACGGCCTGCTTAGAACTTAGGCTACCGGAAACCTCCATCAATATATTGCATATAATTCCCCTTATTCCATTTGTTTAAATCTAGCCAAATATGACCTCTAATAGTATTGTTAACTCCGGCAAGTGTTTAAAACGATAACAACACACTGATTTGCAAGTTTCTACTAAAAGTATTATCCTTTATGGCAGCTTATCTTAATATATAGGACTTAACTGTTCCTGACTTGTGTCCTTGGGTTACAAAATGCACTCCTGAGCCTTTTATAATTGACATTCTACTAAATGGCGTGCATTTCTCCAAAGAGAAAAGGTATCATCATAATGAAATGGTTTGCGCTTCAGGACAGATAGAGCTGTGTCACACTGTCTACTATCAATTAATATTTTATTTGAAGATCCTGAATGAAGAGAATATTTCATGCAATAAACTTGACTGAAAATTCTCTAGATTTATATAAACATCCTTCGGAGTAAAACTGTTAGCACTACTGTTGTTATGCTTGAAAAATTACTCCTTTTTTCTCCCTCCCTCTCTCTCTCCTTGTGCACTAGTTGGATTGGATGCTCAATCAAATTTATACAGATCACCTTTCAAATCAAGCCTATCTAGGCTACCGGTATGTTTAGTGTCTACCGTTGTTTTGTTCTATCATTCTTATTACTGTTTTCTGGCTGTCTTTGTGAACGTTTTATTCGATGATACTACTCATGACTAATTATAGTATTCAAATCGACTAACTAGTCAGTCAGAGCTGTTCTGGCCAACTGATAGAATTCAGTCAAAACCACTAGGGGCTACTTCCCAGTGATCAATCATTACCACCATAACAAGAGGTCAGTTGTGGCTCGAACGGATCGGCACTTATGTCTGTTACGATGACACTGGACCTAGTTCCAGGACTTATTTTTTTATTTATTTTATTTTGATTACAGCTTGATTCCACACCGTATTTTCAGTACAGGTATGGAATTTTCAGCATGGATATCGGTAGCCCAAATTTACAGGCCGACCATAGATATCGGGTGTGCGCCGGCAGGGGATCGAACCCTGGACCGTGTGCATGGTCCTAACCACTGTGCCGACTGGCTGCAAGCATCTAACCGGGAGACATAATAATGCTTTATGATGATGAGTACTTCGAAACGTGCTATTGTGTTGTAGCACCTGAGTATGACCATCTTTATTCCTTGTCGTCTTTTAGATTTCTGTTGATAAGCTCGGTTCCAAAAGAGCGAATCAATATGCCTACCAAGTACTCATTTGATATGGGTGGTTTATGACCACTCATGTCAGTCAGTCGGTAGTATGTAGTATCACTCTAATTTCCTTATCTTCTATGAACAATAATCTTTCAAATAAGAACAAATTAGTTCAGCGAAGAGTCTCTTTTCGGCGAATTCATTCACTTAGCTGTACAGTCGCAAATATATACAATTAATTTTGTCTGTGTGTGTGTGTACATTAGGTTTGTCGAAATCAAAATAACAGTTAGTGTGGGTTGTCGATTACATCATCAAAAAAATAAAGAAATTAAAATGTGTGATTAATAATCAAAGTTGTAACTAAGTGGGGTGAAGATTGGTAAGATGTGAGTAGGGTTACCTAATATAGACATGTTTAGAAAGATTAGATGTTAGTGAAGGAGTATGAAGACAATTATGAAAATAAACTAGATAATAGGTGAAAAGATTGAGTGGGTTAGTTACTAAAAATTATTATACGAAAATTGCAAAAAAAATTTGATAACAAAATGTTGATGACAGATAAACTTGAAATTAAACCTACGGTAGTAGTAGGGGGTGGAGAAGTTTCTTCTGTGTGCATAAATCAGGCTTTTCTATCCAAATCGCTAAGGCTTCGGCAATACAAAGTATACGGAAGCTTGTCGATTTTGGAAGGCTTCTTTTGACTTTATAGATGACTTTGAATGACTTCTCCTTGCAAATCGAATGACCAGTGTTGAGTATATGCTCAATAATGGCGCTCCTTATTGCTCCGTTGTTACCTTTCCGTAGCCAGGTGGGATAGTGTTCTTGAACTCTTTTAGATAAAACTCGCATCGAACGACCTATATACCTCGCTCCGCAAGAGCAGGTGAATTGGTAGATACGCATGGAAGTGGTCAAATGCGATAGTTTATCTTTAGAGTAGTTGAAGAACAATGGCCGGGAGGAAAATGTCAGTCGTAGTGTGGCAGCGAAGAATGTCCTTCTGAGAGCAGTAGATATCCTCTTCTTCAAGGTGTCAGCCAGCAGGTCACCTTTGAAGGGTACATTCATGTAGACCATCTTCTTCTGCACTGTAATGGGTTGTTCTTTGTAAGTCTTAGGCTTAATATCTTTCATTTGGTTTCACAATATACAAATTGTTATTGTCTTACACGTGATTTATAATGATTGCCCATTAATGAACAAATGAACCGATTGATATGTAAGCTTACACTGAAAAGTGCATGATGTCAATTCGCTGAACCTTCTCCCCACCTTGAGAGCACACAAAACAATGGTGCTATAATGGACAAGCATTAATGTGAGGAAAGACAAGGAATGATTACATGCAGATCAGTTAAAATGTTTGGGATTTCGACGAAGACAAATTAAATTTCTAACCATTGATCCTAAGCATCTGGATGACGATCCCGCTCAAGTAATCATATCCCCTTATATATATATATGATTAGCAGATCGAAAGTCATGGTTCTCAAACGCGTGGATGTTATGCTTTGTTTTAATTGGAATAACATTAGGCTAATTCTGACACCTGTAGGCAAATTTGGGCATAAAACGAATTCATGAGTGCATCCAACTCATCTGAAGAGGTCTAGACTCTCTGTTAAAGTCAAAATAATAATCATAATGAAAGTGAGTGTGAGTTCAATCATATCGGTATAGATTACAGGATTTCATCGTCACCACTGATTTCAACTCATGATGAAATCCTGTAACCAATCAAATCTACTCCCTGCAAAACTAATGCTTGAATATCGATATATATTTGAAAAATAAACATCTTATAATCATACACCTTCCACCTTCATAACCTGTACTTAATATTATTATTAAGACACGAACTTGATTTATTATGGGCGTCGACAAAATCCCATAGTTTCCAGGAGAGCTGAGATACTGTCTGAACTCCGAAGTCGAAGCAGGTAATTGTCTTAAGGCAGCATACCCTGAGCCTTTGACTTGAAGTTTGACCCACTAGGCAGTGAACCTACGTTCCTATTGGTTGCTGGTGACCAAAACAGGTTCATATGCCATTCATTATATGTGGATTGTAGAGTCCAGACACACCGTAGGTTTGGAATCAGAGGTTTCTAGCTCCCCCCAGGTGGACCGGCGTCCACCCCACCAGTCCGATTCTAAGTGTTGGACATTCTCATTTGCCCTTTGATTTTTGTGTGAGTGACAATTGTGTACTCACTTTAGACTATGTGAACTGTTATCTGCATTTTGTTTTCTATTTTGGTTTCTTTTTTTTTTGTATATTAGCGAGGTGGTAGTCAACGTGATAATAATAATAATGGGGATAATGGAGAAGATGTACTTGCTATTTAATAATAATAACCACACGTCCACACACACACACAAGCGTTCAAAGTCGAACCCATAAATATTAATTTCATATGAATATCACTTATGAAGAAAAAAGTTGTAATGATGATATTTTTCTTCAGTTGCATTTCACACAAACATTTCCCATCTTCTACTAATTCCTTTCGTTTCGCTTCGATAGACAATTGTTCCCTGTTTTTTTTTCGTTACCATTATTACTGTTATTATTCATAAATGTGAGGATAATTCACTGTCGCGGTTGTCGTTTATTGTTGCTATTACTTTTCTGGTTGTTTCATGTGTTCTGTGTTTTAATAACCATATCTCACCTTCCGCAAAAATTCACTGATCATCTGTCTGTCTGTCTATCTGTGCGTCGAGCTATTCACATACAATTATTTCTCTATATATTTATCCATTTTAATGATATTCATATTACAACAGTGCTTATTTATTATCTACATCAATTGAATTCAGTATCTATCTATCTCTAAGGCATTGAGTTCAGCCTCTTCCCTGTGTTTTTCTTCCCTTTTAATGGTCTATCTTTCTCTATTTCCCTCCCTATTGTGCATTCTACAAAAGATACTGACATGTCAGCATACTCTAAATTTCTTAGTCTGTCTCTCATCCTCCGACATCTGCTCCGATCGACAGTGGTGGTAATACAATTGTTACTGAGTAAATGTACACTTACCGTCTTAATGTGAGTATGTGTGTGTGTGTATACGTGTATGCGTATATAATTCATAACCCACTCAAACTCCTACTTCACTCCACCCCCGGTGGCTTTGTATAATGAATCTTATCTATACAGAAGCTTCGTGTGTGTGTGTGTATTTATGTGTGAATGGTACATACAATAACACATTTCATGAAATATACATAATATTATACAAAATAGACGATACTAATCAAATGTTCTTCTCTAGTCTATATTATAGCCCTTTTTTCGTCTTCACTAGGCACATATACGCCTAACTTTCATGATTAGTAATACTACTACAATTGCTACTTAACTAATTCTTTTCTTATATATGATACTACTACTACCACTACTACTAACGATACCACTTATATGAGTTTTTTTCTATCTGTGTGACCAAATAGGAAGTATTTGTTTTTAAATATCATTTCTAGTGTGTTCTTTGATACCTTTTTCGAAATTTGGTGAGAAGGAGTCCCCTTGGTGTGTGACAAATGCAGGGAGAGAGAGAGAGAAAGAGGGAGTCACCCCCGAAGGTTTATAATCGCATTATTATTATTATCGTTATTATTTATATTTATTACATTCATCCTTTCCTTTATATCCAGAAATATTAAAAAGTTTTTATAGGTATACCTACATATGAATGCCATATTGATGAAAAACACCCATACTTCTTCTGAATACAATGCGATTTTTATTGTTTATTATTATTATTATTTTCATTATTATACTTGGGATTATCATCATCATCATCATTGTTATGAGTGCATTTCATATTTGCCTTTTCTGCCCACTTTTCCACCTTCCGTTTTTATTATCCCCGTGGTTTCGACCTCCTCCCCCGCCCCCCTCCTCCCCATACTCTATCACTCTGTCTCTTTTTGCTTATCCAACTTTATAGTCAAACTCAAAACGCTTCAGGTTTTCTCTTTTTATCTTGTCTGGTGTTTTATGTATGTATGTTTTAAGAAAACGAAACGTGTGCTAAGCTCCTTCTCCTCTGTCTCTGTTTCTCGCTTTCTCTATCTCTCTCTCTCTCATTGGCTTTTAACTCTTGACAAATTTTCAAAAAATACATAATTGTTAAATATGAATAAAAATGGTTGGTTAATTATGTCCTAAGTGTTATTATTACTTGCTTTTTATATAGCTCAAGAGTAAATAGGCTTGGAACTTTACATAAAAGTTCATCAATTCAAGTTCTTTCACATTTGTGGATTTCATTTTTTCTTTTTTTTAAATTAGAAAGTAAACACAAGTTAAATAAATCCTAGGCTTACTCATCAGTGGTATTATTTAAACATGCGGCCATATATCGTGTTAATTAATCGATGAAACTTAAAATCCATTGGTCACTGCATTTCAACCTCGTCAGTTTCATGATTAGATAGATATTGGTTTGTGACTTCACCGACTTAGGGATTGATTTGTTACCAGCGTATAATCTCGTTGACTTAGAATATGCGGATGATATAACCCACCCTGCTGGGTGAAGACACTGGCATAATGTAGAGTCTTGTGAACACCTTGAGCCGCAATCTACGAATGTTTGACATGCGATTCGCTCCGTTCAAATGTAAAATGATGCTACAGGACTGAACTACATTGACTCCTAGATTAAAGATAGGGAATGAATTGGAGTGGTAGGGCGTGTTGACCACTTCACTTATTTAGGAAGCTGCATCAGCCAGCTGGTGACATACTCTGAGAAAACCATCAAGTGACATCACTAGACAAGCCATTGCTCGAGTGGAACCCGAAAGGGAAGCGGCGAGTTGGTCGTCCAAGGGTGACTTGGAGGAGGTCATGTGAAGAGGAGATGAAAATGTGTGGGCAGACTTGGAGCCAGGTGAAGACTCAAGCAGAGAACCGAACGCAATGGAGACGCATGGCTGAAGCCCTATGTTCCTCTAGGGATTAAAGGAAACAATAATAATAATAATCAGCCAGTGCCAGCGGGTTGATCTCTGACGACATCCCAGTACGGATACAGAAGGTTTATTTAGCATATGCCAGCTTACGCCATCTTTGGCTTAGTAGACGTGAAGTCCGGTTGGTTATCGATCAAAGGGTTGGTGTACTGCTCAGCAATTTGCTCTGTCCTCCTTTATGGCTGTGAGACCTGGCCATTTAGAGTGGAAGACATGAAAAGGCTCGCTGTCTTTGATCATAGGTGCCTGCGTTCTATCTTTCGTGGTAGGTGTAATAAGGTTGAACAGTATTGAAGTTAGGCGTCTAGTGGTAGATAGGGAAGGGAAATCAGTCGACGAATTTGTGAAGTTGCACTGATTGGGGTGGTTAGGACATGTGCTACGCATGCCTAGCCATCCATTGCCTTCCTCGACGACAATACTAGCTGACATAGGATGGCTCAGGTTGGAAAAGAGACAGTGGTGGTCAAACCAAAACATCGCTTCATCAGTCAGGGAAATCCGTAACAGTTAGTTTAAGCCAGCCAGTCAAGTAGGGAGGTGTACACTTCTTGGCTGGTTGGGATCCTCGGGGTGGTTGGCTTGACACAGTTGATGATATGGTTCGAAATCGTTCTCAATGGCACAGATGCATTCACTCCTTTTAATTCGTGATATCCAATAAAACCCTATTGTTATTGGATATTACTATTGTTTTTCCCTCACACTTCTGTTTATTATTTCTCATTCGAATCACTCTTTATTCTCTTCTCTTGCTTCGTGTACTACATGGAGGGCGAGTGGCAACTCGAACTGCTGCACGTCTGTTCATAGTTCTATGTTGAGACCAGTCAGTCGTGATCTGAATTTACTAGTTTCGATCCCTAATGGACTCATAGGAAACCACACTACTGAAGAGATTTAGACGTGATGGAAATATTTGCATAATGATCCTTGGTTTCCAATGATTTACTAAGCAACTGATTTCAGTTAGTGACGAAACCTTGTTCTAGTTTCAAGTTAGAACGGATTTGAAATCAGTCAAACCCCTGTAAACCAACACTTGATATCTACATTGGAGAGAATGATATCAGTCAAGAATTAAACAGTATAGGTGAATAGAGAATAAGTGGATAAAATTCAGTGATTATATTTTAAGATTCCGAACAAGATAATTAGTCGCCAAATGTAATCTATTGTAGATTGATCTTGAGGTATGTCAAGGATAGTGTATAAATACTTTTGTTGAAATGTCAATATCTTTAACACGGTAGTCTACACTTTCATATGTGTCTCAAGCTAGCAAAGAAAGATTATTGTTACCATTTTCCATTTTTTCTTGGAAACGAGTAAGCCTAAATATATTACAGATATGTCAAACCCATCTTGGCTAATAAAGATTCATAACTTCATCGATTAGATTCTATTTCTTATTAAGCACCTTACATCTAATCGTAATACTATTCACCGTATAATTTCACAACAGACGAAGGTATCCATCATAGTGAAAGATTGGAGAAATTATATGTTCGACAGCTGACCGCAGTCTCTCAGAACTGTGAATTAGAACAGGCCAATTTATTTGTTGTTTGTCGGTATTTTATTTGAATAGCTCAGAAACTGTTGCAGTCATTGTGTTCATGCATAGACATTGTCACCAATTAATCTGTTATAGTTGGTTTAATTCCTCAGATACGTGAGGCGGTCATATCTTAGCGAATCTAAGTGATGAATTCTCTTTGCATGACTGAGTAGTATATTTCCATACGACAAAAGCACTGGAAGTGATCTTTACTCAAAAATATCCAAGCTAGAAAAAGTAACAAAAGAAATATTCAATTAAATAACAGAGATTCTATGTGTCATTAACCAATAAGAAATTAGCAGTAGGTGTGGATACATTCGTTTGGCTGACGAGTCCCAGGTGGGACGAAACACACTAACTCACCAATAGCGTTTACACTGGCTGTCCAATGACTAATTAAAAAGGGGAGAAGTGTAACATGTAAGAAAATGCTTAGGACTTTTTTTGTAATAGGAATACAAGCTGATCAGCAACATTCGAATAGGACGTGTTGTCGATTGTCGCGGATAAAGAGAATATATTGAACTGTTCGTAGATGTGAAAAGTTATGCTGTCGGTTAAAAGTTATAAATCGTGTCTGTCCTTATTTTAAAGTATATATATATTTGCAGTGAGACTTATAAGAGACAGTGAGTTGTAGGGATGTAATTGATTCTGAGGCTCATTTTGTTACGAAGCTGCATCGAATGGCCGGTGGTGCTATGCATATTTTAAATTGATAGAAGATAGAATTTACGGGTGATTGGATGTCAGTCCAGTAGCTGACCGTTCAACACACTTGCCTCATAACCTGAAGGTT